ATCATTTAGTTATTGTGAAATTTATACGTAATGAAAATATAGAGTTTACGAAATGATGGCAAGATTTTTATTTATCATGAAGGGTAGGGATATAAAGAGGGGTTTGATCGAGATAATGATCATGTTACTTCTGATATTGCGGTAAATTGAATTAAATAACGATAGATAAAAATCAAAGTTAGACAATGTATTTCCTGCAGATGATCTGCGTGTGACGTAGATAAAAATTCGATAAAAAAACTTATTCAATTTTCAGTACAGAATTGCAGGAAATGTAAGATTTCATTTGATCATTCAGCGTTAAAATTTTTACTACTGGATTGGGATAACTTACAGTATCTTATATATGGTTTATAGTTTATTTGTTACCGGTAGCCTTTTAAAATTTGATAATAAAACGCCTGATTATACGGGAAAATAAACATGATCATAAATTAATTTGCCAGTTTATAATCAAAATTTGTGGTCAGAAAATTGTTGTAAAATTATTATGCAAAATATAAAGTAATTACCCTAGCTATGTACTTTACTTATACGAAACGAGCCAATTAGGCTACGGATTATATATAAATATCGACGATAAATGAAATTATTTTTAACTTAACCCTGAAATTTGTCACGGGAACTAATAATAGATGATAGGCGGATGTCCAAGTTCCTAAACGTAATTACAATCGAAAAATGGGAGGTACAACATTATTATAATAATACAAGTATAATTATCTACCATCATTTGAAGTAGTTATTGTATATTAAGATCACGAGTATATTTTCATCTATAGTATTTCAATTCATGGTAATGGCTGAATTAGTATTCTTACAATTGTTCCTAAAGAAATCTTCTAAGCTATACGATAATAATAGATAGTATAAATAATATAATTGACCATACTCAGAGCATTAATATTTATCCGTAAAAATCTCATAGGAAATTCTTGTTAGATCAATTAGTTCAAATTTTTGTCAACATAAGGCACATTTTCAATAATTACATAATAAATAACGATTAAAAATTCTTCAGTATCGTCTACAAATCATTTTTATTAAAAGCTCATTATTATTTGATGACAAATTTAGACTCTAACTTCCAAAACCGTTAAAAGCTACTTTGTGATGCAGTTCCAACCAATTACATCTTTAAAAGTTCATAATTATGACAAAAGCCATTGCTCATCAAAGCAAACTACAGATGACGTTAAGGAAAAGGTCTGATAGCTGCATAACTTATACAATTAAGAAATGAATACACCCAATTATTTAGCTGCGCGTAAATTGTCTTCAATAATCGATTAAATTAACATAAAACACGGGAGGATATGATCAAGCATAATCATTATCTTATTCAGGCAAGATGGCATTTTAAATAATAATATGAATTATGGTAATTAATTTCTTGGCCTGGGAACTTTACTTTCAGCCAGCATGAGAATAAATAGTTAGATTATATTATGATAGCTCATTTAACTCTGCATTAAGCACCACTGTAGTATTAGAAATATATTGTATATATATATATATATATATATATACATCACACATACACAGAATAAATCATTTTACGATATTTAGAGCTATTTAAATCATAATTAAAATTTCTAAGTGCGTACATGTAGGCATAATAAATAAAATATGCCTGATAACTCTGAAACTTGTAAGAAATCGAGGACGTCATATAGTACGTCAATCATCGGAATTATAATTACATGAATACTTGTCAAATTAGCCCATGACGCAAATAGAAACAGATCCCGATCGATCACTTTTATGAGCCTTTTTGGTGTAATAAAGATATTTTATTCCCCAGTTACCTAACTCTAGGTACTTCCCGAGTTAGATCGTTCATACAGTAATTTATCTACTAGATTTCTACATCTAATAGTGGGAACTCCATAACTTCTGTAGTCCCATAAAATACTAGAAATCTCTTTTGGGTATACTAATTAGATCTTTATCACTAGACCGATATAACGATATCCTCCTAAAAATTTTGGGACTTTATAGGCGTATTGTTTATATTCATTTTAAAAATTAAGTAAGAAATAGAATAGGTTAGCAATATGGTAGTTATCTAATCATTAGATGACAATTCTTGAAAATGTCGTGGGTAGAGCTTCTGTCAGATATAGTCCATTATTTCGATATTCATAATACATATATCAAGATCTCCTAGTTATCAAACATCAAGGGTTTAATTTGAACTAGAAATCAAGCAGCAAAAAATTGGTATTTTAAAAACGCTATTAAAACCGGTTATTAGACATTATGGATAGGCGATCAGGACCTTTCCAATTAATTATAGTAACAGTAAGCATAATGGTAATACGTTTGTTGATGCACATGCAAAACCTTAACCTTTAATATTTGTGTTATACAAAACTGAGCTGCTTCGTACTTCGATTTACGTTAGTATGTAGTTATCATATTAAATACAGACTTCAGCTATAGCTAGAATTATAAATGATTATACGTAAGATTTTGAAATTAAACAAGCGATCCGATAAAGTAATACGGAAATATGATTTTACATTACTGTATATTACATACAGTCATGATCGTAACATGCACACACATGTTGTTTTAGATAGCTGCCATTATTTGATTGATTGTAATTTCCTTAGGATCGTAATTCATTAAGTCAAAAATTCTTGAGCTATAAACATAATAGTATAGGTATTCTATTGCATCACTGCCGCCATCGTCTACTATTACTTTACTAAGAATAATAGACTACACTAGTCTCATAACCCTTACCCCATATAGCTATTGTACTTTAAACAAATATTGTACTGCTATTATCAGCTGAATTTACTGTAGCACTTTATAACAAAGAAGTCAAATTTTAAATACTACCTGTCGATCTCAGTTGATCGCCATATTACTACATTCTGGAATTTTGCAAAATAATAATTGTTGGATAATCTTTTCTAATTCTTTATTGATAAACAGACCCAGTCAATATTTTCTGACAGGTAATCGTCTTCATTATTTCTTTTAAACCTATTATGAAAGTACATGTAGGTTGTATGTATAAAGCTTAAACACTATATTTAGCCTAAGTAAGGCTGTAAGATTTATCGCTAATTAAAGTTCAATTGACAATTGATTACAGCATATCTATCACCCATTTTTATTAGTCAGTATGAAGGGATTTCTCATAAAATAATGTTATTGTGCTAATACTAAATAAAGAAACCCACGAATACTGATAGCACAAATTATTAACTTTCGATTTAGAGCAACCTAATGCAGAGTTGACCTTATTGACTTTAGCATTCAGCTACAGCTACAAAATTTTCCGGAAAACAGTTGCAGTCATCTTAAAAAATCAAAACTGATCTACATGATCATACGAAATTGGTGTAAAAATTTAAATATTGACGGCTTTACAATTATTAACGTGATTATCGTAAGTAAAATAATAATGTACGATAATTTCGTCTTTTGGACTTCACTATATTAATAAGATATTTATAAAGGGTATATTCAAGTTGATTAAGAAATCGTTTAGTATCTTTATATTATGAGTAGACTTTCTTGAAGTAATAGATAGCGATGTAATATTCTAAATGTAAAGATAGTATCACAGTAAATTCAGTAAATTATGTTTCTTTCGCCATTTTGGTAGCATCTGATAATGAGTTCAAGAGTTTCATTCTAAGTATTCAAGGTGATTAGCAGTTATAAATTATTCCAAAACACTGTAAATTGAATCTGCCGCTGCAGATATACTAATGAAATTTAACCCTGCACTAATGGACGTATTCTTTAATGTCACTTTTACATAAAGCTTGATCTAGCTAAGACAAACTAACATATCTAGGTCATCCTTTAGGTTTGTTCTTTAAGAAGAAATTTTATTGCAGATTTCTGTCATGATTTAAACATGTATAGTTTGCCTTGTTGAAAGTGGGTGGTATCTGCGCTAGCATTTGGCAAAGCTGAACAAGATTATTGTTAATAATATCACAATTGGCTATGTATGTATGGGGATTTTCCATCCTACCACCAAATACTATTCGAAGCTAGCTCTATGTTACAGTACTGTATCACCGGATATTTTAAAAATCAAAATATTAGACGTAGCACCGGTATCAGTAGTATGAGAATTACATCTTCCATAATCGAACGAGGGGTCTACTAGTATACGATAATAAGTTACTTTGCAATTTTGAGCATTTTTATCAAAAGCTACAGAGCTGTTATCAATTGTATCATAAACTGTAGCTATTGGGCTACATTCTCTTTGATTATATACCATTGATAATAGAAACGTCTTGACATGTTAATATAAGACACATTATATTAGAGCGATGGAATCAAATACCTTTATACGAGTACTGAAGTACTTTAAACCATTCAATAGACAGTGTAAAAATTATTTAAGAAGTAAGCTCTACTAAATATCCATATGGTCCTAATTTTTGTTTATGAAACTATGCAATGATTACAAGGGCTTGATCTCCTTTATATAGATTGTATGTAAGATTTACTAAATCTTGGCTCTCAGTCATTTTAGCACTTAATAACCCAATATTTAGTATTATGTTTTCTCATTGCCTCATCATTCGACGTATAATTGACTTTGAACATTTCGTTTGAGTGAATAAACGGAACGGTAACTAAATAGCGGCAGTCATTCAAAGTATCATTTTTCCGGTTACCCTTCTACATGCCTGCAAAATGATGGTCGAAGTATACGTAAATTGCGTCACAATTAACTTACACTGATACGATACAATATACAAAATTTCAATTCTTTTCGTAATTTTAATCACTTTTCACCACTGAGAATAAACTAGTGCATACCAATAAATTTCTTAACTTGATGTAACCGAAAGTCAAGATTACGGTACAAATCGTTAATATTTGCAAAGCTATTTTAAATTTTATTACTGATATAAATTTAAGAATAAAAATTTGTGAAGTCAAATGTTTAAAAATGAATTAGTTTATTTGACGATTAAGCTGACCAAAAATCTGATGTTGAGTTTAGTTCGAAAATGAGCAAGAAAGAGAGGACACGCCTTGCAGCTCGAAGTAGACGTTTGGAAGAAAATGATTTAATGAAGAAGCTAGCTCAGCTATTACCAATTATATCAGATGTCGCTCGGCAACTCGATAAAGCCGCCGTTATTCGTTTAGCTATAAGTGTTTTGAAACTACGTCAACGAACCTTAAATCACAACGGTAACTTCGGTATTTTTCTATTGGTTACAACTGTCTCTTTATAAGCAATATTACTGCATGTATTCCTTATTACAATATTAGTTCTTTACATAACTATTCTTTCAGCTTCATGTAAAGATTTTTCAGTTTTGAGCTGCCTTTGTCTCCGTAAAGACTTTTTTCGCAAATTTAAGGATTTATCACCTCGACAACTTAGTTGAATAGCCTAATACTTGAGGACTTTGAACAAGAAGTCATAAATTTTTTTTCAGCGATCGTTTATAGCGATGATCATGAATTACTTTCTAGCCATGAAATCTTGATAACAGTCGCAATATTTAACCTCAAAATCAGTTAAAATGTAAAGATAGAAATTTGAGAAATCATACTAACCTTTAAATTCCTTTCTTCTTCCACATCCATGATAGGCCCTTCCGTTGTTGAAGCTAATTTAGTCCAACATATGCATAACAGTACGGCTAACATATCATAAGATGGATCAGCTACTGTATTTTAATGAATTGCGAAATTATTGTGTATTATAAATTAGGCTAATTTTAGACCATTTTAGATGTATACTATTCGAATATACTAAAATGCGAATGTTTCATCGATATCAATATGTTGTTCACGTTTGCTATTATAATAGGACAGAGGAAATATTTGCACATCCAAAGATACTTCAAAAGCAATATTGGGTGGTATCTTCTTCAAGTAAATTTATTGATTAGCTGAAACAAATAATGAAAAGACATATTTTAAGAGTTTCCGTTTGCAGCTTTTTTATTTCTGACCTTGCATTTCACTTCTATCCATTTATAATTTCTATCTAAAATAATCAGGCATTAGATGGATTTCTATTATTGATTTCTAATGATTGCCAGCTATTATACGTTTCAGAAAGAATTTCTGTGCATTTAGGTTTGTCACAAGTAAGTCGAAAGTTGACATTTTCATATGCTTAATTTCTCATGAGTTATTTTTACCCAATAAATTGTAGCGTGATATTCTTCTGCTTCAAAGGCTGCATTAGGTAATTGTTGAATGTGCAACATCATGCTTTCATAGGTTGACTTAATTGGATCAAGTTTATTGGACATTATTCATTCTGATGACAAGGAAAAATTATATAATTTTCTAAGTATTGACCTGTATTCGAATGAACCTGGTACGCACAATCTTATTTTAAACTTGCAAATGTAAAATTTTGATTAGTAATAGTTTTCTTCCTGGTTGATACATTTGGCCATAAATCATTCAAATATTCTATAAAATGTCCAGTAATGTATTTACAAGTACATCCAAAGGTCCTCCTCTAAGCGTATTATTGTCCTGTAAGACCTCCAATTTCAATTTCAATAGCTGCATACATTTCACAGATTCAATAAACAATTCTGCGTTATACCAAATTTACATAAAAAGCTATCAGCTAGTTTCATAATTGATTCCTAATAAATGTTTAGATCAGCTATATGGAATTCATTTAGCAATTTTAAGTGTTGTTAGCATAGTCTGATTCAGTCATAATTGAAACTGTGAGCTGTTACAGTAAAATAATCCTACCTTATCAGAATCGTATGAGGCGAAATTATTGATTATTAGAAAATATATATACCCTAGCTTGCTTGCAGCTCAATATTACTTGACATAGCTAAATCATATGTTCAATTACCGATAGGCAAAGGTAATGCTATTAATGAACTTAGCGGTAAAAGTCGATCTATTTTAATTCGCATGAAATGCAAGCTAGTTAAGCGCTTTGCGCTTGATCGTGGCGATAAAAGAGCTATGAATCAGCAAAATAAAAATTATAAGGTAAAACCATCAATTTATGTTATTCCTTTCAATATAGATTTAATGCCATAAAATAGGAGATGAACGTTAGGAAATTCATTCGTCTTTACTAGAATTTGGATAAAGCTAGCAATATTTTAATTAAAACAACTCTCTGAATGTCATAATAAAAATTAGGAGAAATAATCTCTAAACGGATGCTCGTTGCGAATAAAACTAAATACGCAATACGTACCTTACGTATGAAAGAGTAGTTTGCGAACATCATGCATTATGATATATTTGACAACATCAGATATCGTTACAGAATTAAATTATTGACTGCAATCTTGACTTTTAATTAATCGTAATGTGAATGAAATCTTTCAAATATAACTAGATTTCACGATGCTAAATATGTGCTGCAAAGTGAAATTGCAAGAACTCGTACAACACCTTTTCTGATTATTATAATATGTAACTTAACTTTTGCACTCATAGATAATTGCTACAATATTTGGTTCTCTTAATTGAATTCACTTCAATCTTATCATACTAACAACAAGGTTACTTTTACTTTCCTAGATAATTCGTTTTACCACTCACCATCGTCAATTGTCATGCTTCCGTTACCAACTTCCTAAAGATTTTGGTTCAATATATGAATCAGCGATCGTTGCTGAACCTATTGCATCATTACAAACTTTAGAGAATCAAAATAGTAGCCGAACCTTTCTCTGTTATCTTACTTGCAATTTAGAAATATTATGCTGCACGGAAGGGTAGGGTAACTTTAATAGCGTTACATTTAATGGTTAGAAATACGTGTAGTTATATCAGCATGCTACTTTCCTTATATTGTTATATCGTATAAGGCAAGTTTACTCTTATTTATTAGGCTGAATCTTTACTTATTTGTTAGTTTGCAGTATTGTACTGGTTTTCGTGAAGAAGAAGTCCAGGGTAAATCTTTGTATCAGTTTTGCCATACGCGCGATCTTGATCATATCAAAGCAATCCATACATCACGTAAGTAATAACTAAAGTGGCATATACCAGTAGCTGTTATATTATGGATTATGGTACGGTAGTTATTTAATTTGATATAAGTAGAATATAAATTAGAGAGCTATACTCCTATGGTGGGTATAAAATAGAGGAAGCGACCGTTTTAGATGCCAGAGATAGATTACTGGAAATAGTTTATTAAAGCGATTATATAATAACCGTTAATCTTTTCTGTTCCTAGTTTTACATCCAGAACAGATCGTCGATTACTATAGTTATAAATGGTTAAGAAAAGACGGCGGCTGGTCAGTACTGCATTCTACGGCTCACATTGCGACAAATTGTAGGAGAACTACGACCCTCCGGTACACTGGTAGAACTATTGTAATTAAAAATTATTTGATAGGGTGAGTCAAAATAGTGATACATGCCCGTAATATAGCTTAATGTTAAGAGAGGATTATGAGAAATGATTCAAAATAAAGAACTAAGCTATAATATTCCATAGAAACATCAGCATACTTGTAATTTCTCAATTGTTGATTACAGTTATTTTCATTAAAGTATTTTAGCATTATAGGTTATAATTAGTTGTCTTAATTTGGACGTAAGACAGTTTATCTTCTCATATCTTCTTTGATATACTCATTATCTTGGTATTTTAATTATATAGAAAAGTAACAGGTACGAATGCTTTATTAATATAATGGATTACGAACTTAAATGCAAAGCACAAGTTTTAAAATGAAACAAAGAGCATAAGAATGAGATAAATCATTAAAATTCGTTTTAATACTTCATACAAGGAGTACTTTCAAGCGACATGTTAGCAAGTCAGTGACTAAAATCAATATTAATAGCTCTAAAATTGAAATAATATCATGACTATAAAGCATTTTTTGAAACTGTTTATTGCGAATATTATGTATGCAATAGCTACCGATTTCTTAAATATTAATCGAATTGTATTACAATGTTCCTATACCGAATAAATTGCTTAAGATGTTTTACTAAATGTTTTAATTGTGAAGTATGGAATGCTTCTAGCTAATACCGTAAAAATACCAATGGTGAAAAGTATTGGGACATACAACACTTTAAATTAAGTGCTTGCTATTCCTACACTTTATGTTCGACGTTGTAATATACGGCAATACGGTAAAGTTGGTTGTCAATGTTTCTAAAATTCGATACATGGCCACAATTACTTGTTTGTGTTGGCTGTATTATTGCTACCTAGCCTATTGATGTAAACTATTTTTCAATTTGTGATGTACTTGTATTCACCTTATATCAATGTTACTACTAGCATGTAGCCATGTAATCTGTACAGTATAAATATCGTTTTAATATTTTTAATCAACATACAGGAGTATGATCTTAGCTTGAATAAAGACATCAGCATCATAAGTTGACATCTGTAGTTTTACTTATCGATTTATATAGATACGGGAGCCTATGTTGCACCCTTAGTATTACAGTATCATAACTGAGGTATAATTGCTTCACATATATGCCTTAATATGATAGATTTTAGATAATGACATCCATTAATAGCTTACGAGCATGAAAATCAGTTGTTTCATAATCAAAATTAATCATGTGTAATTAATCCACAAAAAGATAAATAAAAATCTCTATCATCATAGCTAATAGGTGCTTTAAAATAATTTATAGCATAACAATCTTCCGTAACACGATATTGTCCGATTAATCAAAAGCCAAAAGGCTAAGTGTTTTAGTTTGAAGTCATCGATATCGTTCCATCAAAGGTACTATATTTTTATTACGAAGTCATCTTCAATCTATTGTCGTTCGGCGATTATTGACAGAGAGCTCATTCATTTACCAAGCTTAATTTATATCAGCGCAAGCTGGTGAGAATGACAAATGGAATGGATTTTCTTTTTAAATTCAACGGACGTTACTAAAGTAGTATAGCATGCAGCAATTATGAAATAGCGTTCAACTTTTACTATTTATTTATCAAAGGAAATAGCGCACTGTATTATCCTAACTGGCTCATCTATCTACGCCTATGTAAGCATGTCCACTTGAAGTTCATTCAATTTAAATTAATTAAATCATGTACTGGCTGTAGATACAATAAATTATATTACAATTATTAAAGAAAACCTGAAATATCTTATGAAGGCATGATGACCGTTAATTAATAGATGTAGAAGTTAACGATATTATTTCGTCATCATATTACTGTAATAAATAACTTTTAGCTCACTATTGACGTTTAAGTCGTAATTTTAAAGTGGTTTACTATTTGCTACAGCACAGCTCCATCCTCATACAGTACCGGTATGTATTTACACAGGTAACAGCATATATATTTCTAAAAATTGATAATTACACTAAAAGTGTAGCTTTCATGTAGGCGTACAGTATATAATATGTGCATGCCATAAAATACATCTTATATTTGCAAAGCTTAATATGATCATCGTGTATAGGATAATAAATTTAATCAGATAATCTAGTGCTATCATTGCCGATTTCAGGTAAATATAATATTTAAATTGATAGTGAATAAACTCGGTTCAATGTATTAATGATAGAGCAATTGGCTTATAGCTTATGCCGAATTGACATAGGTTTGAGATATGAAATAGCATATAAAGTGCAAACATTGTCAGTGAATAACTGCATAGTGTATCTTATTTTTGACTAATGCTGCCTACATATTAGGCAATAAAATGATAGTAACACAAGGTAATGTACTTAAATTTGCATTAGAGTAAAACCATTCCTATTTTAACTGCACAGTCATGGCTATGTCAGCTCAACCAAATAATAGCGTATTTACTGTTGATTATTTATTACCATTGTAATCAGTAAAAACTAGAATTGCAATACGTATAGTTCATTCAAGACTTCAGCGCTTTATTATTACCAAACTAATAGCGGTCAGATGCTAATGCTGAACTGCAATACGCTTTCATATCTAGTGCTCAATCTATCCAATTCAAGTGAGGGTGTTTTATGTGATGATTATCATAGCAACGTAATAATACGATATGAATTATTAATGAAAATCACCTTACGGCTATTATATACCCATCTGCTGAGTCATGATTATGGTCCACTTTCCTTGTAACCTGATTGGCTGATTAAAATTGATTAATTCTGGCTAATGCATATTGATATAATGATAATGGCTGTAAAACGATAAGGTTATATAAAATGTTATATTGTGCTGATATAGTACTAGTTATGGACTTTAGAGAAAATTCTTTAAAGTTTATTATGTTCATTGTGAAATTATGTTGTTATCGCTAGACTATTGATTAGCATATTTAATTAATTATCCCTAAGCTATATAAGGAGTTCTCTGCATGTAAAACAGCAAAGAGAACAGATCAGTTGCTCATTCATTTGACTAACTAACAAATTATCAATTTTCCTAAGTACCATACTCGTTCGATATTTTCCAAAAGTCGTGAACATGGCTCAATTCTTAGGAAAAGGAAGTCCGCGTCCTCCTAAAACCAGCAAAGTTCGGTTGTATTGCTCACGTTTCGATCCTTTCACCGCTGGCCTCCGCTATGTTTTAAGAGAAAAAGGTGTTGAATTTGAGAATATTTACATCGACACTCACAACGACACAGCTGAATGGTACAAAGACATCAATCCAACTGGTGAAATCCCCGTGTGTGGAGATCGGAGATGAAGCTATTCCTGAAACTTTCATCATCTATGACTACCTGGAAGCTAAATTTCCTAGTGTGAAGACTCAACATACTGGTAATGCTTACAAATGGGCAAAAGATCGATTGTTTGCAACTCGCATCTCGCAAAATTTGGCACCTAAAATTGGTGGACTTGTCAAGGAACCTGAAAAAAACTTCAGTGAAATTGCTACCAAATTGAAGACTGTTAATTCTATCTTGAGTAAGCGTGGCACAGATTATATTGGTGGTTCAAGCCCAAACTATGCCGATTATTACCTTTGGGGCTGGGTTGAATTAATACCTGCAATAAAAGCTGCCCATAATTTGAAGTTTGATTTGGATCGTGAAGAGTATAAACATTACTGGGCATGGATCTCTCGCATGGATAAGAACAAGCACATTGAACAAGATCGTATCGATCGCAAAGTTAACTTAAAGTTACGTACTGAATTTTTCAAATCTGTCATTGCCGGAAAACCTAATGTACTCGTTGGATTGTAACGTAAAAGAGTTTTATGCGATATTCATATACGGAAATTCTGAATAAAACATTAGTTTTAAATATACCTATTTTAAAAGCTAATCATACGTATCTTGTATGCTGATACGTATATAATCGTTACAATATATTAGTAATAATAATTAATCACAGGTTTATGTACCTCGTAGGTTCAGATGAATTTCAGGTGTAAATTTTCTACGAAACATTTTATAGAGACCTATTTTAATTGCAAAAACTTCAACGTTGTTCGATTATTAAAAATTGACTTAATGTTAATTAGCTTCATATTTATTCATTTAAACTTTGACATCGTAAATAAAACTACTAGTTATTGAAGTACGTAACACATCATGTCTTGTTCCTGAATCCAATTATACTTAGTCATGCATTAGTAAAGAACATAAAGCCTACCATGGTAGTTAGAGCTACAGGTAGCCCTAGTTCTAAGGCAACTGATAAGAGCTAATGGCTAATACTGTACGCACACATGCAGTTACTACAATACAATAATCAGCAAAGTATCGCATCCGCACGTGCCCGGGTATGCACACTAAAGATTAAAAAGCTCCTTAAAATTCTTAACATAGAATTAAAGACTACATTTTATATGTATTAGATAGTGCCATGTAGTTTATCGTGCTTCTTAAGCAGTGATTTTTTATTCGTAACTGGTTATTGGATGACCGTTGTGAAAACATTGTGCAAAATCCATTTGCAGAATTTTTCCAGGAAGACAAATTGTAAAATTTAGCTCCTCGGCTCTGAAGTCAGATTCATATTTTATGATATGCACGTAAACAAGGTTAGAAATACTGTACTTTACTACTGTATATACTTCAACTGCTTATGAGGGCAGTCTAATAGGATAGGTCATAAGATAGATACCGATAGATATCGTGTTCTGCCATCATAGCATCGTGATATTGCTATTGCTTTATTTACAGATTTTGTAAAGTAAATCGAATTAATTATTTTATACTCAATCATTCATCTACTTTATTAATGGGTTACTCACTTAACATGCAACGTTAGATTTCTTTCGATGCTTAAAAGTAAACCGCAGTATATGTCTAACGACTGGCACAATGCATAAGAGGGTAATTAAGGAGGCGCCTGATGATTATACCCTAATCGACATCTCCTTTACTCATGTATCTGCTGATTAGTACCGTGCCTAGAGCCAAGCTCAAGAGATATTCAAAAATCTGCTGTACTCAAACCGTGAAACAGAGATTAAGAGGTTTTGCAATCTTTATAACCGATTAAATGAGCTATCCATGTCCCATTTATATTCACAAAATTTCTGACCAAACGCTAATATCAATAAGCATACCAACACTATCGATAATTTCATTTTTAAACCTTTTATTGGCTGTATCTCATCAAATGCTTCCCACCTATGACAAAATTATTTTCCGGCGTTACATATCTGCAAATGCTATCCAATCCAACCAACGTGGTGCATTAGTTACTAGTTTACATGTATCGATTAGGAGAACGACATACAAGTAAATCTGCAAGCTAAACTAATAATAAAACAGCTAATGTCATGCGCATCTTTCCAAATTCATACGTCTTAAAAAATTGACATCATGAGTAAAGAATCACTGCAAGCATTTTTGTCATCGTTAAAGTCCAACTTTCATATTTGGGCTCCCAGCCTTGACCGTTTTCAAGTATTCAGTTCGAGTTTGAAAGTTAACCTTACGATCAACACGGTCTTGTTCAATATGTTTATCTTTATCCATTCGGAAAACCCACGCAAAATAATTCTTGTAAGCTTTATCATTGTGGATGTCAATTTTTAGATCATGAGCGGCTTTCAACGATGGAATCACTTCAACCCAAGCAAACAAATAATAATCTGCATAATTTGGTTTATCGCCACCGATATAATCTGTTCCTCGCATTCCTAAAATCTCATCTACCTTTTTTAATTTTGCAAGGAGATCATCGACATTATCATTGGGATTTTTAAGGCAGCCAGTAATCTTTGGCACTACATTTTGCTTAAATCGAGTGACAAATAAGCGATCTTTGCTCCACTTGTAAGCATCCCCAGTTCGTTGCATTTTTACTTGTGGAAATTTAGCTTCCAAGTAGTCGTGGATGATCATACTTTCAGGGATCACCTCATCCCCACACTCTACGCAAGGAATCTCACCGGTTGGGTTGATGTCGTTATACCATTCGGGCTTATCTTGTAGGTTAATATAACAATCTTCGAAATCAATACCTTTAGCTCGTAAAACATATCGAAGAGATGCACTATATGGATCAAATCGTGAGGAATATAATCTTACTTTGGATGACTTTGCTGGACGTGAAGTTGATTTATCCAAGAATGACATGCTGTTGATTTGTTATTTATTTCCTATTACTGTAGCTCAAATCACGAATTTTTGGCACGTCGTCGTACTTATTGGAGGAAAAGGAAGATTTGCCAATTCGAAGCTCTTTTTATACAGTACTGTCTGTCGCCCCTTGCTACTGTACTGTACGCATTTATAGTATAAATTCAATTTTATACAGTCAATAAGTATAGTTCAAATAAAATCGAATATATCATTAAACATGTGATAGCGAATATGAAAGGCATGCGCTATGCAGTAAAATAAAATAAAATAAGTAAATAAATGGATAAAATAAATAACTTGCTGTTAATAATAAAATTTAATTTATGTCATTTATTTATTTACTGTTAATAAGAATACAGTTATAGCACAGTAAACTACAATTTACAGCACGGTTTAATCAGATCACTATAACAAACCTATACAGTACATACTGGTTGAAAGCTGTTCAGCACTATTGTGTGGCCTTCACTAGGTCTTGAAGTTTTTAAGCGATTTGTATTATTAAATTTAGTTAAAATTTCACTTAAAGAGATCCTTACAACCTAAAACACTTGTTGTTTTATTTATTTACAGTTTATTAATTTTACTGAAGAAGTAGTGGAGTTATTTTATCCTCTTGAAGGTTTCTATTAATGCAAACCACCAAGTCCTCGAAAAATGCCAACTCGTGTGTACAACTCACACAGTGATAGTAATAGCAGGGCAGTCGGACTCTACAATGACTGAAGATGGGTCGAGTAGTCTCTGCTATTAGACATGATTAAGGAAAGAGAGAAGGACGGAAAACTGGTTTTCACCCATATTGGACAGCTGGACAATGGACAGCGTACTGTAGTCCATGATACAGCACGGTTGCTCCAGCTTAAAACATACAGTACACTCAGTGAGTACAGTAGATAGTGCAAAGGGTGACCAACAGTCCCTTTGCAAAAACATCGAAGTGGAGTATTTTGCTGGTCACTTTACTATGCCAGGAAACTGGAACCGTAAACTATATTAGACAGTACTGTAGAGTACTGTAGACTTCACAAGTGGAACATTTAGGATCAATCTCTATAGTACAGTTTCTGCAAAACAGGACGGTCGAGAAAAATAGGATTCGTTTTAGTGTAAGTTGGAAGAAAACGATAGCGAGTCCTTCACAAAATGGCTCAAATCCAGTTGCTAACGAAAGGAAGTGAACGGCCACCTAAATCTTCCAAAGTACGCTTATATGGTGCACGATTTGACACTCACAGCGCCGGAATTCGCTATGTACTGCGCGATAAAGGGATCGATTTCGAAGATGTATACATACATACCTTCGTCAAACCCGAATGGTATGAGGATATTAATCCGGTAGGTAAAATTCCTTGTGTGGAATACGGCGATGAAATTGTTCCTGAAACCTTTGTAATCTATGATTACCTGGAGGAAAAATTTCCAAGTAAAGGCTCTCAGCAAATGGATGCATACAAAAGAAGTATGGATAGAGTGTTCATGGTACGATGTGCTGAATTTTTAACACCTAAAATTATCGACTGTATGAAAAATGCAAAGGATAATCTTGCAAGCTTAGAGCAAGCCTTATTAAAAGTCAATGATATCTTGCTTAAGCGAGGTACTCATTATTTTGGTGGCTCTAGTCCAAACTACGTTGATTACTACTTATGGAGTTGGGTAGAAGTCATGCCGGTGATGATTGGGCTTCATGGAGTAAAACTGGAATTGGATAAAGAGAAATACACAACCTATTTGGCTTGGATCGACCGCATGGATAAGAACGAACACGTTGAAAAGGATCGCTTAGAACGTAAAGTCAATTTTGAGACCAGAACAGAATATTTAAAATCCCTTTTAGCTGGTCGTCCAAATCCAACTATTGGGCTTTAATTAGTGGCGAAAGTTTCAGTGTGCTATCTTATTGTATGTTTTCATAGGAAATTGATTTAAAAGATTTACAGTAAGAGTGTACAGCATGTAAAAATGTAACAGGATCAACTTGCAAGAACGACCCTCCATGCAATCCAGTAGATGGATTGTGCATAACTTGATACGTGGCACATATTTCGATTTTGAGATATCTCTACTCTCTTAAACTGTGTGTTTTCTAGAAAGTAAACTAAATTTATGGTTAAATCGTGTGATGATTTTTAAAACGCCTATGTTTTAATTTTTGAAAGTGGTGGTACTGTGCGGCGAAGTCATTTGTATGCATTATTTTCGAAAATAAGTAATATTATATTGGAATCGAACTAACATCCCCTTGAAAACAGTTACATAAAGTCGTGAAAGTTTATAAATTAGCACAAGTGATTCAGAAAAATACGTGCAATTAGGTTGTCACTAGTGCTGCGTAGTATCGGCATTTGCTACTAACATTACTGTATGTATACTTTAAGAATTCAGTACTTAATCAAGAGGTACATGTACTGTATCACTACGGGTCTGTGTGTTTTACCGTTAGGACTCGCAATCAGGTATACATTTTTTACTCTTAATTCAATAATAAAATTTATTAACAACCTGGATGATAATATGGAATACAGCTATAGTAAAGCAGCATTCACTGCAACAACAGTGACATTATTAATTGACAAACGGAAATTGCATACGCAATACTGAGCGAATTTAATTAGTTAATTTTCCTTCAAGATGAGCTCAGAAATCAATTATTTTACATGGTATATATCAGTTAGGTCTCCGAACTATCCCGATTTACAGGCTTACAGCCCAACCTTAACATCCGGAGATCCTGCAAGTACAGTTTTAAAGAAGGCAGTGCGGTTCTTTAAATCAGCTTTATGAGTAGCTCGATCATTCTCAACGTTCTTGTCCTTATCCATGCGCATAACCCAAGCCCAGTAATTGCTGTATTCATTCTTATCCAACTCAAATTTCAAATCATGAGCTCCTTTCAAAGCTGGAAGTAGCTCTACCCATCCGAACAAGAAATAATCAGCAAAGTTAGGACTAGCTCCACCTAGATAGTCGGTACCACGTTTGCCCATAATGCCATCAATGATCTTCAAGACCTTGGTGACTTCTTCAAGGTTATCATTTGGATTTTTAACACAGCCGGTAATTTTTGGAGTAAGATATTCCTTGGTATGAGCTACAAATATCTTGTCTTGAGCCTTCTTGTACGGATCAGTTGGTTGGGTCTTTACCTGAGGATATCTATCTTCTAGATAATCGTAGATAACGGACGTTTCTGATACGACTTCGTCGCCAGTCTCCAAGCATGGTATATGACCGGTGGGATTGACCTCCTTGTACCATTCAGGCTTGTTATGGACATCGACGTAAGCATATTCATAGTCGATGCCTTTTGCACCCAATACAAAACGAATTCCAGCACTATAAGGATCAAATCGCGAAGTGTACAGTCGCGGCTTCGATGATTTTGCTGGACGTTGACTATCTTTGCCCAAGAATGACATACTTTCAGAGTCGATTTCAAAGCGTGCACAGTACAACAAAAAGTAGACGAGCAAAACAAGGATTCCCGAGTTGGAACTTGAGCTCGTTCTGCAGCAAGACACGATATTTATACTATCGGGGCTTTAAGTGGGCGGGATAAAGCGAACAGATAAGAATTTAGCGGGATAGACTGTCTGGTTTTGTACTTTATGCATATGCTACTATCCACAGAGCAGCACGCTACAAACAATGGAACAGCGTGTAAATAGTACAGTTTTACAGAATCATATTTTCTAGCTACATTTTATTGAACAGCTACAATTCTAATGGTGAATAGTTTAGTCTCATGGGCATGTTAAGGATAGCAGCGTTTTTTTGAATAAATCCAAAAGCATAAACGGTAGATTGGTGTTGCGTTTGGTAAAGTACTTGAATGTACCGTGTCCTAATATACAGTGAATATGACAATATACACATACACATGTAACGGTACCGTACTATATTTATTCGGAGGCGGATCTTTTAACTAGTAATATGGCAAGAATTAAATTAACATCGTACATGTTCGTGCAGCTCATTTGGAGAATAAAAGAGCTGTTGACACAAAAGTGCTGAATCATTATTATCTGCAAAATTCTTTCCACGCGATTGGCTACTGAATGCAAGACAATCAAAACATGAAATAGTTTACGATTAATAATAAGAATAAGAATAACTAGTGCAAACTCCCGTCGCTTTACTGACGGTTTACGATAATGTGCTCATTTAACAGAGGTTCAGTAACTTTATACCGTACCGTGTAGACCTGTCAGAGGTTCAGTAACTTTATATCGTGTACTGTGTACAGTACTGTACTGTACTGTAATGTACTAATCGAGTTACTGTACAGTACAGTACGTCGTTTACCATTATTTTATTTTTTTCATGATATCTATTAAATGGGCTATTTAATTACTTGTTTGCCCCTCGATGCTGTCGCGGACTGTCAACAAAAAGCCCAAGGATCTCTGAGGAGCATGTGCTCACAAATGGAAGCTATAATAACGCCATTAAATTAAATTAATGTTGAATGTTAAAATTTGTAATATGCACTAACTCCATATACAGTATATGTACTATATATATATACCATATACACCACTACAGTACGTGAATGTTTCAAGATTGCAAGTTGCAATTTCTTCAAATTGATCGCGCGCGCTACTGTGCTACTGCAATGTATAACATTTCAAATTTTATTTTCAGTAAGTTATACACGCGTAGGCAATAAATAATAATATAAATAAATAATAATGTTAATAAGAATCATAACACTATAATAATTATTTATAACACACCGAAATTACAATGTAGGCGAATGTACCGACGTACTCTACATGTACAATACGTGTATTTATGTACTGTACTCGTATATAAAGAACAACAAAGTCTAACAAGTTTCATAATACCTAAAGTACGAATACAGTAATGTCGCTTTTGAGCAAGGGAAGCCCACGTCCAGCTAAATCTTCCAAGCCGCGCTTGTACACGGCAAGATTTGATCCCTACAGTGCTGGAATACGTTTCCTTCTGAACAAAAAAGGGGTCGATTACGACTTTGTCTACATCAATATGCAAGACAAACCAGAATGGCTGGCAGATATTAATCCTGCAGGTCAGATTCCTATAATGGAAATTGGTGATGAAATTGTCTGCGAAACGATTGTGATTTATGATTACTTAGAGGATAAGTTTCCTCAGGTCAAAACTCAGCCAACAGATCCTTACTTAAAAGCCAAAGATAAAATTTTTATAGATCATACTAAAGAATATTTAACCGGCAAGATAACTTCGATGGTTAAAAATCCAACACAAGAAAATATTGAGTATGTCTGCAGTGTCTTGAAATCGATCAATAAGATCATGGGCGAACGAGGAACTGATTTCCTCGGTGGTACCAGCCCAAATTTCGTTGATTACTATCTATGGGGATGGGTAGAATTACTTTCTGCCTTGAAAGCCGCTCATGAATTATCATTCGAATTGGATAAAGACGAGTATAAGCATTATTGGGCATGGGTAATGAAAATGGACAAGGACCAACACATCAATAATGATCGTGAGACTCATAAGCTGAATCTAAAGTGTCGGACAGCATTCTTTAAATCTGTAATTAACGGATCACCCGATGTAAATGCTGGATTATAGACGTACTATCATGAATTTGGGATATTTGGAGATTAATTGACTGATCATCATTATCATAGGTTATGGTCAAAATCGACAAATCTATATATATGACATATATACAGTACTAGTTCTAGTCTTTAGCAACAGTAAATATTTAATTCATTTTGCCTGTTGGAGATGGCCTGTACTGTATAATGTTGCATATTAATAGATTGCATGTGGGAGATCATCTGTAGAATTATATTATTCTTGAACTCAATTATATCAGGACACGGTGATTTTTTCCAATGTCATATCTTTTCTGCTCGTTGTACATCAAGTTTTTGCTCAAATAAAGTCGATGCTTCTTCCCAAAAAGTTAATCAAGTAACCTTGTTGCAATTGTTGTGTACAGTATGTTAGTGGAGGCATGATGGAGGTGTGTTGTACTGTACGGTGTACCTTGTACGCTGTTCACTACAGTAGTACCCTGGTCACCGCACCTGTCTACTGTACACAGTACTGCACAGTAGACAGGTATGGAGCACTGATTTACAGAAGGCAGCACTGTAGATCTTCTGTAAGTTTGATGTAAATTGTTTACAGTCTGCATGAACTGCAATTGCATTGCAACCAAGTTGAGATGCGTTGGAACATGATCAAAAATTGGATTTGCTAATGCCATATTAGTGCACTAGCTACTGTATTCAAAATTGCATGATGTCGATGTTAAGTCAAGGATGTGAGCGACCAGCTAAGAGTAGTAAATTACGCTTGTATGGGACAAGATTTGATGCTTACTGTGTCGGATTTCGCCTAATGCTTATGGCTAAGGGAGTTGATTTCGAATTTGCTTTGCTTGATATGATTAACAAGCCAGATTGGTTCAAAGAGGTCAACCCAACTGGTAGAGTACCTACTGTGGAATTTGGAGACGAAACGGTCGGAGAGACCTTGGTGATTTACGATCATATTGAAAATAAATTTCCAGAAAAACCCATGCGCCCAACTGATGCTTAGAAAAAAGCTAAAGATGCTGAATTAATGTCGCGTTTCGCTGAGCATTTTGCACCTCACATCTATGGAATGGTTAGAGCCCCGAAGGACCATATAGATGCTGTCAAGTCCGGATTAGAGAAAGTGAATAAAGTTTTACCTCATCGAGCAACTGATTACTTTGGTGGTTCCTCTCCCAATTTAGTTGATTTTTATGTATGGGGTTGGGTAGGATTGCTACCACCTTTACATAGAGTTCATAAACTAAAAGCAACTACTCGGAGGGTCATCATAACCATTACTTGGCTTGGTTGTCTCGCATGAAAGAACATCCTTTAGTTCTGGCTGAACGAAAGTACGTCAAAGTCGATGTGGATATCCAGACACAGTTTATACAATCTGCACTCGATGGAAAAGCAAATCACTTAATTGGGTATTAAACTTCATTCTATTTTAGAGATTGTAACGAGCCTTCAGTACAGTAGTGTACTTTAAAGGAGAGAATTTGCTTTTGTTTAAATTACTTTGGATCAATTTTGCTAATTTAATATGATTAGCGGCTGTAGATCCATTCTATAATTTTACATATTATTTATTTTTGTTAAGTTCATGCAGCGGAGAAATTCTATAACTTTACATATTAATTATTTTTGTTACATTCGTGCTGCCAAGAAATTAAATGTACGGTAATGTTTTACATACTGTAGATGTAAGTGATTGCTTTCAACAGTGCTGAAATTGATTGATCTAGCTCACGTAGAACAACCCATGGAAGCATAGGCTATTAAAAAATAATTTTTTGCGATTTAAGGTATATTAGACTTATTTACTTAAAAGGTATATCGCATTATTATAATATTGGACAGAGTCTGTGATCTTGTTTTAAGTTTTGATCCAATTTGCTCCTTAATCTCATAAAGACTTCTCTTGTGTACAAACTACGTTAAGGTACAGTATTGCACAAAATATATAAATAAATTAATACCGTTGTAGATGATATAATTTAACTTTGGATAACTTGCATTGGTTTGCATTCTGAGATTTCCCGGATTTATAATCTGAATTTGGGATTTAGAGCATCACCTAAAATTTGATACAAACTCATGATAGCCAATATTGCGCTGTGGAACAACGGAACTATATTCAGTATACTAATGCACATTATTTGAGGACATTGTACGCACGTATGAGCAATTATAAGTTCAATTTATGTTATTTCCGGGATCGTATAAGCACACGGACTACAAATTTAACTAACATTAAATGATTTCAGAATCTGTGTTAAAGTTTTGAGGTATGCATGTTCACTGTGTATTGTGCCGCATGTACGTTGCCTGGGATCGTACTGTTCATATTAAATTAAATTAAATTTAATTTATTACGCATTGGACAAAAAGTATCAAAGGATATTACTGGCTTTATTGCATCAATTAGAAAATGATTGCAGTTCAAAGTAAAATTGAGCTGCAATGGAGTTTACAGGTACGGCTTGTAAAAGTGCTTGATTATGCAAGCCTTCCAAGGATTGCCAGATTCTCCGATAATTTTATAATACAGTATATTTAATCCATCCATACCTATATAGAGCTGGGTAATGGGCAGCTTCATTCGATTTATGCTAATGAGGTATAGCATACTTTTCGAGGATATTGATTTTAAAGAATACGCTATGAGACAGTCTTAAAGTTACCTATAGATTTTGCTGTTAATCGTGTTCTTCGCTACAGCAAACGCTACATATTTGAAATGTTATTAACAGTGTTTAGTATGAACTTTGTACGCGCCCACTACAATGTTAATTTGATTAGCGCTTTGTCCTAGGATTGAGTTCTACAAAGAAAGAAATGGCAAAGTTTAAATGTATGATATGTGGCTTAATTTTCTAATAGTAGGAAAATGACTATCAATAACTAAAGGTATTTTTTCAGCATTATTTGAATTGGGTAATTTGTAAGATTGCAATTTATTCAACGTACTAAGTGCACCATTGGTATACTATATGGCCGTTACTATTTTTTACGATAAGAGACTTCATCAATGCCGTTGACTGAGGGCTGCAAATTACTGAACAACCAGAATTATGTAAAAAATTGAACTATCCAAGTGTATAACGAATTTCTAATATTACTATTTATTATTTTTCTTTTGTAAAAACTGATGTAATTCTCTTAAAGAATCTGCCACAATTAGGGGAAAATATCAGTGTTGATAGTGATCAATATAGTATTTAATCAATTGACTCTACTTCTATGAGTATTGTACCTTTTAGTATCAGTGTTTTCTAAGTAAAAGTCCTGTATTTATGGGTCCTTTAACCACAACAATTCCAGTTATTATTAATATTAACATTATTAATAGAGTTATTTACCGTTACTAGATTTAAACTATTTTTATAGAATCCATTCGCAACTGATGACGAAACACGGTATTAGCAGATGAAATACTAATAATAATTAGTTTTGGACCCTCAAGCGGATCTCTGAATTCCGATCAAACTGCAAAATGGTAGCAGTAATTACGTAGCTTCATAATACTATAATTCCACTATGTTTTAGATTTACACGATATCAATAGCAAGTAATGAAGACCTTTGCAGTAATTTTACTGGTATTCACCTCGATAAAGTTGATCTACCGTTAATAATGCTCTAGAAGTTTAAGAATACATGCTTATTAATACTATATTCTGTAAAGTCTAGATTTACATTCCAACCATCAACGATTTTATAAACTATCATATTTAATTTACAATGTATCACTTTTACTGTCAATATTTTAAGATTGAATCAATATCAAGATGATTTCCTATTTCCTTTACAGCATAATCTATTGATTTAAGTGTCGAATATGTCAATAAATGCTTCAACCTCAAATCAATATGTTCATTAAATAGAATCACATATATAGTCATTAATCCGGTAATAGAAGGATAGAGCTGATATAGTAATGGTGTTTCAATGCCAGATGTTCATCCAGTAAATGACGTCAAAGATGACAATGGTCGGAATTTAGCTGATTGGAAGTTTCATGATCATAGTAATGTCTCTATGAAGATGATTTATTAAAACTGATAAAACAGAGCTGATCTCACTTATTATAGCAGATGGTCTTGAATGCAACTCTAGGTGGCATATTGTTATGATACATAAAGACAGCTGACAGTAAAGAAAATTTATATTTCTATTGCTGCATCATGGCTTCCAGAAAGGTAAAAAATCATAGAATTTTATTTCAAGATAAAATTGAAGATAACTCCTCTAAAAAATTCGGCACTGGGAAATATAATCGTAAAGCGCTAGATGCTATATTAAAATGTGAATTTTGGGTGGAAGAACAAATCAGAGAATTATATCACGTAGAGGTAAACTGACACGATATCACAATTCTATATTACATGATAATTATTGGTTTGTGCTGGTAAAATATAAACTGCTAAGGCATAGAATTATTGTAAATTGAGGCATTTGAGGTTTTAAATGTTTGCTACTTCCACGGGCTATATTTTGTCATCATACTTCCTTGTAGGGCTGCTTAATGCAACAAAGCACATTATTGTCATTATTATCATTACATTTAGGAAAAATTACGTTTTCTAAATTGCCCTAAATTTGGCTGATATTGCGGCACTAATATTCCTATTGGAAGCAAATTGTTAGATTTGAGCATTCGTACCAAATGTGATAATTAGTAGGTTATTCGTCAAGCCATGCTATAATGAAAGGGGTTATGACATCTATTTACGTGCAATTACTAACGAAACCAGAACATCCTAGTCAAACATTAGCTCCAGTTCTACAATTTCAATCAATTTGTACTACTCCTATATTAGCGATATTACCAATAATCTAAGAATCTTATTTAATGTTATCTTCAGAATTTAGTACTTCACCTGACCCAATAATATCTTTGCTTTTGATCTTAATCACCACGAATTACAAGTAGGGTTAATGTTCTAAGATAAATATTATTTATTATCGTTAATTGCCTTCATACAGTAATATAATAAATCAATAAGGAGTTTTTTGCTTCAGTTTAGCATCATTAATTCTAGTATAATCTAATTAAAAGTAAATTTAATTTTCACACTATCTATTAAAAATCTGAGATTTCAGATTATGTTTAATTATATCTAGGACTACAAAGAATTACCTGTACATATTGATGTCTATGCTCTGATGGATATAACGGATTCAACCCGGCAGCGAAATGCAATCGAAGTAAGTGTATTCGTATATGCAGTGTCATAAATAATGATCCACTATTAAGTATATTAATGTTTAAAAAAATTTTAATAGCCATTGCAGCAGGAAGGATATTTGGATAGATAATTATAATCATGGAGTTGGTACTAAATTTCAGCAGTTAAAGTTAAAATTAGTAGAGACTAAATCTAGCATCCTACCGATCATAGATTGATTTATGGAATACGGCTCTTGATTCAACATAACTTATTAAGTCTAAATTTGTTAGTAATTAAAAAATTTTGCGATGACACCATTCCAGTTAGTACGAAAATATTGACAGCTTTCAAACCAACTCCGCATTAAAAGCCTAAGATTTGACAGCGATATATTTAAGAATGTTTTCTTATTGTAAAATGCTATCATGTACTCTCTGCAATTTGTTCTGTTTCTTTTAACTTTTTCCTAAAGATGTAAAAGTACAGTAATTGTTGTGGTCTTAAATCATCTTTTGATAATGAAAGCCAAACGAATTCTTTTGTAATAACAAGCTAGCAAGACTTAATCATAATTTTAAATCTAAGCTTTTCTGAAAGTTTTTAAAACACAAATGAAAATCGAATTAATGACATTTTAATCTAGTCAACATTTGCTATTAGCTATCAAACTACTAAGTAAAAATATAATGATGCTAACTAGAGGCAGTAAATTCCTATAGCATTGCTATTAATACCAGAAAATTGTTAAGTCCAATTATGTACTGCATGTAGGTTATTTTCTCATATAATCAATAGTAGAGCACTGTCCATGGCACTACCTATATTGCACAAATAAAAAAATAGATTATAAATAATGGATCATATACGACACTTTATGTAACGATCAACTAACGGCATTTAATAGTAGAGTGAAATTAGAGGATTTGATATGACAATATTTGATAATACGGCATCTAAATTGTTCTAATCATTCATTTCCCTACATTTATCTTACGACATTTTCCCCATTTCTGTTTAAAATAACTTTATTAAACAGTTATGTATCGACATAACAGCATGTAGCTAGGAGATTCTGATAGCCTTTGGTATGTCAAATGATCAACGCAAAGTAATCAATATCTTCATTTTGAATAACTAGTTTGTATTTTGATTTATTAAGGATAAGGAGGCTGAAGGTAGTTTAAAATTTTTCTGACTTGTTTCAATGAGTCAGCTACTTAGTATAAATATAAAGTATCTACCTGTATTTGCAATGTTAAATTTATATAAAATCCTTTTCTGACACACTATGAAATTTCGCATATCGCATCATACGATCCAAAAGAGATACAAATTAAACTTAAGTTTTCTTTCGTGTTATTTGTTAGTTTTAGGAACCTAAATTTTGTTTATTAACTTCTCTAGAAGCGTTTGTCTTAAGACAAGCTGGAAACAATTATTTTTCAATTTTTAATTGTTTCTTATTTTCTTATAGGCCCAACTCAGAAAATCGCCTTCCCCAAAGGAGGTAATATTAAATTTATAACTATCACTGCACGGTATTAACGTACTGTCTATTTAACGTCAATCTATGTAAATTTCAAAACGCTTCAATATTGATTTTGTGAAGCTGTTACTAGATATTGAATATTTACTTCCAGTATCTTTACGAAACTTAGCTACATTATGTATAAGTCGATGACTAGAGATTAAATTATAGTCTATCATTAATTTTCGTAGAGATTATGTAGAGCCTTTCCTACCTCGCATAATTTTAACATTTAGTTCTAATTAATTAAATATGAAATGGATTAGTTAAATTATTTGTACTAATAATTAAGTTACCAAATTGTCACACTCCATGTATTATATCAAGCTACAATTTACATTAGTGATACTATGGGATTTCTGTAGAATCAGATAAACTAATATAAATAGTTTGCATTGCAGTTAAATTTAAATATAGCCAATTTGAAATTAAAGTAATCTTTAATATACTAGAAAAGTAGTAGTGACAAGAATAGATTCAGTGGGCTAATTAAGTCGTTAGAAAAGCAGCCTAAGGCGAGAATTCTTTGCTACTGTCATGTAGATTTACAAGCGACAAGCCAATAGAAGTGAATTAAGCACTGAAAATAATAAGCTTTCACCAATACTAATTACTTTTATTTTTATGTTAATCTAGAATTTCGTCAACGTTTTAATGGGTAAACTTGAAGAGTTACATCATTTAAATAACTGAAACTAGAATTGACGTAAATGTTGCACCTTGCTTGTGGTTAAATTGGATATAATAATAGTAGAACCTTGTCATATCGTACAAATATATATTAGCCACATAAGATGACCGTAATTCAATAAACCTTAAGGAAGGCTAATCGATGACTTCGATATACTTCATATGCAAAATGATTATTTTTGATTCGATTCGATTTGAATGTTTATTAATGACGTAAAACTGTATTCTATCCTGTCAACCCTTTATAAAAATTAATATTATTCTGGTTATAGATTGTAACAATCCGAATTTTGAGATTTAATGATCCTTTGCATTGTGTATAGTTATTACTATTTATTTGTAAAAGTGTCTTCAAATCCGCTGTTTTTCTAATAGCAACTGAAGAAACTTTTTCTGTAGGTTTTATAAATAAAATGCTGAATGATGTACTTATTATCCGTAAATGTAAGTGTGTTATGGCTAGACTAAATGTGTAACTGTGTTGGTGTACATAGATATTTACTTTAGACTATTATACACTCTGAAACAGGGCCAATATTAGACTGCAATTACCTCCATTATTTACTTCTCAAAGTGCCACTGTACTGTCTACCTGATGATAACGAACCTTAGTTATTATTATACAGTGTAAAAGTGTATGACATATGCATCTAAGTCTTGGGTATTTTATCCTAATTAACGGCATTTCTATCACTAACTGGTATTGCATTATACTCGCGTGGTAATCATTTCATAGAATAATTTGAAAAATGAATCAAGATTAATAAAAGTAATGAATGCGTACAGCGCGGTTGACTTCCTGTATGAGCTGATGTACTATTTTAATCATATATCCTTGTAAGTGATTTTCATATTGATTTAACTGTCTATCTGTAGCTTGCGTATAACAAGTTACTGTGAATATACATATTTTAGTGAATATTTGCACGGCTACAGATAGGTAAACAGGTTTAATGACCAGATAGCACACTAAGAATACAGAAGGCTGAGTGTACATTAGTTCAGATGTCTAAGGTATAATTTCAGTTTACTATGTGCAATTGTAAAATATCCACAAGTACAATCCTGGACATAATCCATAGATCATCACGATGTATAATGTGAATGATGAAAAAATGTTGTTGGAGTCACAAAAATTTTGTCAGTACGAAGGTGATTTATTTTGCTTTGACTAAAAATCGCCAATTTAATAACTTGATTGTAAATCTTGTAGGAAAACAGATGCTATAGTAAAGGTAAAAAAGCCCCGATAATAAATGGTACGATAGCCATAGCAATGCGTTAGGGACTGGAGTTTCAAAGATATTGCATTTAAGGGTTGGATTAGTTGAAATTCGCTATTGATTAAGTGCTGTAAAAATGCAAAACGCCTCGGTATGCAACATTAGCAGGTCTCAATAGCTATCGTCTGATTGGCTCGGAGTGACTCGAAGGAGTCCTATTCAAGCATAACGCTGGGTATTGACATTTTCGATGTTGCTTTAAGAAGAATAGAGGCTGATTCTTTTGCAAGCAATTCCGTCTGAGATGTCGCTGTGTCTCTGAAACGTAGAACAGAATGAACTTTGTAAGTCTAATAAAAGAATGATTAACTTTGTTCTCAAAGGACTCTAGTGGGCCCACTGACGACTACAATATTATTAATTAATAATATAACACGGATACTAGCAATAGTTATACAATTATCTAAATGTTAGCTTACGGCCAATGTCTGAAGTTGGGCGCTACGCGTATTGGCCAGTATGCAGTATACAATATAGTATAATTTATCCGATTGAGTCATGCGCGTATACTGTACAATGTACATGTACCGCAAGCAAGGGTTCCTCTACCAGTTAACCTTTAACCTTAACTAAGTACTGCAGTGTACAGTACTTTATACAGTAATTTACAGTAGCCTGTACTGTATAAAAATGACTCACATCAGCCAAAACTATCAAGACTTTAGTAGCCAATGATACGATGTATGCGTTCAGAAATCTGGAATAAATGACTCAAATCAGTCAAAATGATCAAGATTTCAGTAGCCAATGATACAATGTATGCGTTCAGAAATCTGGAATAAATGACTCAAATCAGTCAAAATGATCAAGATTTGTGTAAGATTTTAGTAGCCAATGATATGCGGTCAGAGATCTGGAATAAATACAGTACTGTAGACATGGACGACATACAGTATATCATTTACAGTACAATGTACTGTCAATTCAGCTTCTTTTCCAAGCTATTGAATGAATTTCTTTGGCTAATCACAGGCTGGTAATGAATCAATGGCGCAGCACTGGTATGATAGAAGCGCTTTAAAATAAAAATAGTTTGACTTTATGCAGTAAGAATAAGACTGCTATAGCCAGATATTTCGAACTGAAGTTACGATAAGAATACCTCTTATTTGATCAATCGTTTATTCATCATGATTGAACCACCAAGTTGTTAAAACAACTTTTTCAAAAGACAAGAAACGAACATTGTTAGAAACTGCTATACTAAAGGTTGTGGTAAACGTCATTATAGGATACACGTATGTACGAATATAGACACGATGACAAGTTCTCTTGTTTTCATCACTACTGAAAGTATATATTTGAAAAAAGAGTTGATCTTCAAGACCCAGTAATAGTAGACTTGCATAATGAAATATTGCTTTGTCTTGGTAATTGCATGCCTTTAGCCAAAACTTGTCAATAAAATGATGACCAATGTTGATCAGTTTCGGTCACATACATTACAGATACGTTTTCCTGTAGTTTTTAGGACATTGAATGCAACTCTTCATGGAAATTTGTTTACCGCCAACTTTGACATTAGAAGATCCAACTCTTTAAGATAGTACTCGTATTATTCATATTTACTTCATTTGCTGCTTGTTGTGATAGTGAATTTCATTGAATGGATCAACTGTTATGATCAATGCATGAATAAGAATAATAACAACACTATATCCAAAGGTAGTGTACAGTACCTTTATTGTCAGCCAACGTCAATGGTCAATGCCAAATAGAATAACATAATGCGATCACTATTTCATGTAATCAAAAGATTTAATTAAAACTCAATCTTCCGCATAGGCTACAAGATAAGAATGCAATGATGAACAAGAATTTGATTGAAGCAGCAAGTTCTGAACCTACCAGATAACACATTTATGAAAGCTATACCGGATATAATAAATATAGTCGGGATATCTTGCTTTTTTATAAAACTCAACTGTTCATTTGCCTTAAAGGACTCAATTTCGCTACAAATAGATCGCATACTAGGTATCGCTGTGTTCATACACTATTTGGAAAGGATATTGATATCTTCTATATCTGAATAACCTGGATCATGTGGCAAATAGTTCTTCTTAGCGCTATCGTTGGGCTTATAATTTATATGTTTTATACCCACTATATTCTGCCCTTGTATCACTTCAAAAGTAAAGATATACCACACCCGAAGGCAAAAATTGTTTTCGGTAATGTCCTAGATGATTGGTATCATGGCAGTCATGTAAATCAAATACGAAATATACAAAACTTTGGTCGTGTCTATGGAACTTTGATTGGAACAGTTCCTATCATATGGATATCTGACCCTGACATGATTAAGGAAATAACTACTAAAAAGTTTCATTGCTTTGTTAATAGACATCAAGACATTCCATTAACTATCGATGTACTATGCTACGGTATTGTCATTGCACGCGATGAGAGATGGAAACGTATCCGTCGAATTCTGTCTCCAACTTTTAGTACATCCAAATTAAAGCAGGCTCTAGTCGTAATTAATGATACCAGTCAGCAAGTCGTAGATAATTTGATTCATTCATTGTCATCAGAAGAATGCCATCAAACACAAGCTATCAATTACACCAAGATGTACACTACTGCTATTCTGAAATCAACTTTAGCAAATTCATTTGGCGTATATTCAGACATTACTAGAGATGGTAAACTTGGTAAGGCAATCCACACCATCTTTCATAATCAGGGTTCGGCGGTAATGTTAGCATCTATTTCGCCTTTTCTAACGAAGTATTTTGCTAAATTAATACCTGGTACATTCGAAGCCTTCAATGTTTTAGATGATACTGTTAAGCAAGCAATTAGGGCTAGAAGAAAGGAAAATCCTTCGAACAGACGTAAAGATTTATTAAATCTGTTATTGGAATCACAAGATAGTGAAACATTAAGCGAAAAGGAAATATCTGCTCAGGCAACAACATTTCTTCTTGGAGGTTATGAATCGACAAGAAATACATTAATTTTTGCAACATATTTAATTACTACTCATCCTGAAATTCAACAAAAGTTGATCGATGAAATTGATAGCTATAGTCCTGATCAAGAATCATTAACTTATGACGTTATATCTAAATTACCCTACTTAGATATGGTTGTTAGTGAAGTACTACGCTTATATCCCTCTTTTCCAGAAATTAGTCGTGATGTAGAGCAGGATGTTACTATCGCAGGAGTAAAATTATGCAAAGGTGATGCAATTAAGATTCCAGTGTATGGTATACATCGTGACAGTGAATTTTGGCCAAATCCTGAAAAATTTTTACCGGAAAGGTTTAGTGCTGAATCGACCCAAAAACGTCATAATTGCTGTTACTTACCATTTGGACTAGGTCCTCGTTCGTGTATTGGTTTGAGGTTGGCGTTATTTACAATTAAAGTATTTCTAGTAAAGCAGTTGCAACAATTCGAATTTAAGGTTTGTGAACAAACTGTTACTTCTTTGGAGATTGAAGCTAAGGCGTCGTTGTCGCCATTAAGCGATCTCTTTGTGCAAATAGTAAAAAGAAAATAAATTTTATCGTTTAAATTAAATTAATCCAACGAATTGAAACTGATGCAGCGCTTAAATATACAGTATACTATTTACGCTATTTAAAACTATTTAAAAATCAATCCATGGATTGATATTCTTAATTTGATGTCTGCTTTACGTAGAGTATTAATACTGAATAATCATGTAATTGCTTATGATAATTATACTGTAATATTTTGTTGAAAGAAAATTACTAGCAGTGTCCTGCTATCGAAAGTGTCGAAGTTGTTCCTTTATTCGAAAATTAATTCAATTAGTAATCAATCTAAAGATCTTCCAAGGAAGAGCAACTCATGTCGTATTCATCCTGTATTTTGTGGACTCCTTGTCATTTTAACTTTATTTATGGATAGTATTCCTTATCGTATCATAATTTTATTACGCATTTACAGTGGATATTTCTATTGTGTCTCTAAGCTATGACCCTACTAATAATTAAGGAGCTTGTTTCTGCATAAAAACGAGTGCATGTGTTTTGATTATACACCACCAAAAACAGATCGAATAAATAAATTATTATTTATTCAGTGCAATACTAATTCGATTGCAGCGATCGCTTATAAATTATTTATTACTAGCTAGTCTTGTAGTTAGCATACAGTAATGGCTAATATATACCGTTGTATTTAACGTACGATTGCCGTGCAATCGATTTTACATCTGTCAATAGTTTTCGTTCAATACAGCATAATCGACTGATGGCTACTAAAACTAATTTTAATTGCGGTCCATTTCTAGTGATAGCCAAAATATCGATTAATGTTTATCAAACCCTCCAAGGACACATATCGAAGGTTCACTTCTTAATCAGTTCGAACCAGTTATACCTGCAAGGTTGATTATTTGTTACTATTAATAATCAATATTCTAACGAGCAGCTTCGCTTTGCGAACTAATTCTAGTACTAATCTGCTGGACGAGTTATAATAATGAGTATAGAATTAACCATGAGACTTGTGTACAGTACGGTACGCAGTCATGGGCTACTAAATTCGGTACTATAGTTCATGGTAAGGTGCGATAATGACCAAGGCAGGGACGTCAGTTGCCCCTGGCAACCACTGAGAAGACCATCTAGCCATCTTGGATAAATGTAATAGCTGAACGCCGAGCGCGAATCTGCAGTTGATTTCTATACAAATACACTATGCAAGTGTGCAATCTTGACTAAGCGAGAAAAGAGTCAACAAACTGATAGTTGCGTGACTACTCTAAATTTATACTCTTTAGTCAGTTTACGATTCTCGATTTTGGACGCGTATAATATATAAATTAATCGGCCTGAATTATATTCATGGTCAATCATGGATGAACAAATCAACTATATCGATTCTGGATTTTTATTCGGTGATCAACTCTTCTACCCTGTAGCTATTTTACTCATTTCATCCATACTAGCTTATTTCTTATATCGCAATATTATTGCACCACTGTACTATTTCCAACGCTTAGGCATTCCCAGTCCAAAACAAACCCCTTTCTTTGGTCATGTACTAAATATCAACCGTGATGGCTTTCAACATACTTACTTAAATTACACAAAACAAATGGGTCCTGTATACGGTTTAATGTTTGGCCGCGTACCTGAAATGGTAATATCAGATTTAGATATGGTCAAAGAAATTACTGTTAAGAGATTCAATCAATTTATTAATCGAGCTGAATTAATTAATCTTCCTAAAGAATCTCCTTTCTATGACGGGTTATTACGTTTACGTGATCATCAGTGGAAGAGAGTTCGCGGCTTACTTGTGCCAACATTTAGCGGTGCTAAAATGCGACAAATTATTACCATTATGAATAATATTAGCCAAGGTCTAGTTGATCGACTGTTACAAAAATGCCAACAAGACGGTCAGATTGATATTTGGCAAGCTTATGGTCAAGTGACGATGCAAATTATATTAGCGATCGCTTTCGGTGTCGAATCGCACGGTCATAATGGATCTGACAATCTAACCAAGTCTGCTCGACGTATTACAGGAGTAGCCACTCGATTAATAGTATTAGTCCCGCTTTTCCCCAGTTTTATAGTACGATTATTACTTACGTTGAGGGGAAAAGGACGAGATGATGCCACATTTTTACGTGATACTGCTATGAAAGTGATTGAATCAAGACGCGCTCATGGTCTGTCGTCTCGTAAAGACTTATTACAATTAATGATCGATGCTGGAGATAACGGTAAACTGACTGACACCGAAGTTATTGCACAATCCATCGTTTTCTTAATTGCCGGTTATGAAACTACAAGTAATGCATTAGCTTTTACCAGTTATCTACTAGCACTTAACCCCGATATACAAGATAAATTAATTAAGGAAATTGATGAAAAATGTCCAGACGAGAATGCAATCGATTACGATACTATATCGAATTTAACTTACTTAGATATGGTTTTAGATGAAGCTATGAGAATATATCCGCCAGCCTTCCGATTCAATCGAGAGGCAAGTGAGGATATTACTATTAACAATATTTTTATACCTAAAGGCATGACTGTCACTATTCCAATTATCGCGATACATCATGACCCCAAGCTATGGCCTAATCCTGATAAATTCGATCCAGAACGATTTTCAGCTAAGGCTAAAGCAGAACGTAATCCATATAGTTATATGCCGTTCGGAGTTGGTCCAAGAGCCTGCATTGGGATGCGATTGGCTGTTATTGAAGCTAAACTAATATTAATTCGAACTTTGCAGCAAGTTCGGTTCACCGTAGTTAAAGAAACGCCTATTCCTCTGAAATTTCGAGGGGGTGTTGTCACTTCGCCTAAAAATGGAATACGATTAGGATTAACCTCTAGAAATGTATAGACTAGGTTATTATTCATGCACTAAAGAATTGATTCCCATCTAGAAATCTGTTAGCCTGATCAAGCTGAAAACAGGAGTCTTCCTGACGGAAGTGAATTTTATGATCTCGTTTTACCTTCATGAAAATAGTTCAACCCTCGTATTTGTAATACGAATTGTAACAAAAACATTATGCTTTTTACCTTATATAAAATGAAAGCATAATAACAACCATATTTCAAAATTAAATTGTAGGGAAGTTATAGGAAATTAATTCTGTTTGGATTACTATTACAATTTATTATCGAAAAACTACTACATCTTGCATCATTTAAGAATTGCAACATGTTATTTAAGTAACTGAAAAGTTTCGGAATGTGACTACATCAAGTACTTAAAATTATATCCAATAACTAACTATACTACACGTAGTCAGATCAGAAGTTATCTATTACGGCTCATGGCATAACACATCATCCTGACGTACAACGCCATTCTTTATTTGCTAATACTCTGAGATAGAAAATTTATACGTGCTTCTATAAATTTTCGAAAGCCTGGTTAAGATTAATTCTCGGAAATTTCGAGTGCTGTTTTTATCAGAGGTCAATAGCTACATAAGTGTTTCATTACAAGCTTAATGGAAATTTAAATTTCTGTTAGTTGTAAACAAGACAATAGCATGGAAAAAATCCGCTCTATCTTAGTTATTATAAACAGATGCACTCAGTTTTATCAAAGACGTATGGAAAGATAATTACCACCAATCTAAAATTTAAAATAAATGTGATTATAGGCGTACCTCAAAGTGATCCCTTTCGGTTAAGAACCTTAAAGAATTAAAATCTTAGAATTATATCGTTCAGCTAATACATCGAGCAACATATGTATATGAATAAAAATGAGATTATTGTTAATATATAAAGTTTCAAATCTCGATCAATATATGTGAACACTTTTTCTTTGTATCAAGCTTGCATAACCTACTACATAAATTCGATTACAATTATTGACAAAAAGTTTTATGTTATTTTATTCTTGAATTAAACTTTTCAAAATTGTTATGTGTCGGCTACGTTATCAATTGATTAAATAAACGCTAAGATCGCGAAGGCTATTCTTAATGATACTCCGCCGGCAAATCAAGCTTGGATCCCTATATTCTCCCTCATAAGCAGTTTCAAACTGAAAAGCTATGCTAAAACAAGCTCGTCTTCATCCATTCGCATTAATAAAGTTTATAAAAATTAAACATATGTTAAATCGAATATGCATAAAAAGATAGGAATTGACTGTTTTCTTTACGTTTACTGCTTTCATAACAAATCTGAAACGGGATAGCCAACACTTCCAAGAAAGCATTCTATAAGCTATCTGCTCAATTGCTACGACTCATTTAATCCGAAAAGCACTAAAATGGTATTTGGCACAATATTAGCATTGACAATATATCTTACTAAACTTAAGGACTATGCTTTCTGAAACGCTATGAATATGATACGTGCTTTGATGACAGAGAAGAATCGGTTATAGCTAAATAATGGAAATTTGCATTAGAAAACTTTCTCACATCAATTGGTAAAAGGAAAATCATAAATAAATACTTAATAGTCTCTTATTTAACCTAGACAGTGAATTTAAATTTAAAATCCAATACAATATTTCTTGTAGTAACCATTTGAATTAATATACGTGTATAAATTGAATAGATTTAAAACATATAAAGTGGTCTATTAATTAATTACTAGATATAATATACACAAACTGAACAATTGCAAGCTATTTAATAGGGCAGAAAATATATTCTATACACTCAATATACTACAAAAGGTGGCTCGAATTGAGATATATTAATTATAGTTATCTTTAAAACTTAATCGTGGAAGAAAAGACTTGTAATCGTAAGTTCTGACTAAAGGAGGATCTAGTACTGTTTTAGCTCATAATTTCGAAAAATATTGATATATTTAGCCATAAATATTACTTGCTGGTTCTATAAAAGCAATTGTAAGAAATTATTTACAGATTAAATAGATACCTGTCACCTTATTAGCTATCGCTAACAAACAAGCAGTTAAATATCTTTCCAAAGTATATCTGTAAGAAAAATCTCCAACTATCGCTAAAATAACACATGGAAGATCTAATAAATCAATATAATTTTCTCCTATTTATTTAAGGTTACATTACTGCTAAGAATACATAAGAGTTTATTATAATGCTAGTCATCGCTACTCAAAACAATATGCACGTAGATTCACATATAAAGAAAAGATCTTGTTTTTGTGGATTAAAAACTACAATAATTATATCCATTTCTTCATTACAACAAATAAAGCTTATGAGCTACAAAAATAGTATTATTATCGTGTTTAATCATATATATGTACTGGTGACGGTATCGGTATTGGTAAAAATGATAGTCAAAAAATCTCTTCATCTTGTAATATAGGCATTCCTGGCAACAAGAAAATATTTGTGCTATCTAATTATAATCAGTGTTATGGTATGCTGATATTTAACTAAATTTGATCTAATTTGCTTATTTTAACATTTTATGTTTATAGAGTCTAGTGGCATTAGTTTAAAGCTCTCCAGCCAATCCCTTATCCTCAATCTTGCATAAGTAATACATTGTATTAGGATCTAATAAATACATCAGATTCAAATTATATCTTATTAAAATCAGCTACGAATCCTTAAATCTAATGAAAATGAGTCATATTTGCATATGTTAACACACACAATCTTTTTCAATTCGGTGGTTGTATTCGATGTCTAAATAGCACATTTATGGAATACTTTACACGGTAACTTATCATAGATAAAAAATGATTCGTATGATGCAATGTAAAGCACAGCATACCATAGTCCTTAATGATAAAAGTTGTGCCTGCACACTTATTAACTGTACGTCAGTTATAGCAATAATATACTAAATTCGGCCTAGGCCGTAAACGAAATTAATAAGGCAATTAGGTTTTCAATTAATTTTTTCAATTCAAATACTCTTCGATTTTCTTTAATAACACTAAAAGGCGTACTAAATTATGGCAACCTACAAATACTGACAAGATAGTTTATTTCAAAGCTTTTTAGACTTAGATCTTATTACTGCTAACTACTTATCAATCGATTGAAAATATATTTAAATTAAATAAGGATTTTAAAAACGTCCATCATAATCTGCTGGTGGCTAAATTAGAGCTCTGTTTTCTTCAATTTTCCATAGAGTCTTTCTACTGATTAAGAAAGCCACCAAATAAAATTTTACAATTTCATTAATCATTACGAATAACCATTACACTGCTATAAGATAGCAAGAAATTTTAATACTAAAAATTTTATTGTAAAATTGCAAGTCGGATAGAATACCATAAATGAACACCTTGTCTTAGTTTTTCTTTCGTAATTAATATAGGCCAAACTACAGTACATGCACAATAATCCCGATGATATTTTTAGCTAGACCAATCAAATTAAGTTAAAAACTTTTAAATATTTATTTGCAGTTAGTATCGATTTCCATACATGGAACTAATCAGGGATCATGAAATGGGCATTACGATAATAACAAAGTATGGCTTAAAAATATCAAGCTGCAGTGGTACATCGACGAGGATTCCTAATAGAATTATTTTAGATCACTATTAGGAATTTCTAGATAACGGTTACTTTGTATTTCGCAGGATAGTATACATGGATTATCATAATACTTTGACAAGAAATACTGTACCGGCGATTAGATATTTCTAGATATGAGATACCATCTAACCGCTATGTAGCAATACTATTTGATTTTATTGCTTTCGTGAGCAAACGTGAAAATGTTGATATTCAGTAAATTGCAATGTGCTTTTCAATTAAGTTAGCCATTCAATTATTTACCGTATCTTACAGTAGACAATTTAAGCTAACTCATTAACTATCTTAGAATTATTTCTACAAAATCTAGCCATTTCGATCAAATCTATCTCAAGCGATATTGAATCAACTTTCTACAGAAAAGTATGCTGAATTCCAAATTCCTGCCTAAAATATTCAATTTCTTGTATGCTAATGAACTCTGTCATTCAGTCTAAACTCACTTATTCCTTTTAAATTTCGAAGATAAGGGCCAATAGTTGATATTTCAATCAACCGAAAAATTAATCAAAGCCGTTCAATTTAAGTATTCCATCGATCTTATTGTATCCACGTTTAAAGTTCTACACTTTTTTTCATGAGTCAAGTTTAACAATTCCATTGACTGCAAAGCAACAAATAACTGTATTTCTTTAGAAGAGGTGCAGTATAATACTGTGTCATAATTGAAGATAGTCTATAGAGACTTGATCATGGCATTTACCATTTAAGGATGTTATAATACAAGGCAACATTTTCGCTTTAAATAACATCATTCTTTCGAACACTAAAACATATACAAGATATTTATAAACTTGATATAAGGTGCTTAGGCTAAAGTAATTGCTGGTTACTGTTACTATTTAAGGACATATTGCTGTCTATCATTTAAATATTATGACGTAATGCGGTATGGCGAATAAAAATATCACAAGTGGTATCTTAATATAGATCATTCAGCCTAATTAAGTAAAACAATTTCGCAGGGTAAGTATTAGCGTCGAGACATTGCTTTGACATTGGTTTGACGTAAAGGATACTTAATTCCCGGGTATACAGCATATTGATTCTATAGTGCTGTACAGTATACTGTGCTACTACTGTTAGCAGTTGAGCGATCAAAAATCGATTTCAACTTAAAAAAAAATTTTCACGAAAGTAACCGATACTGAATAGAGCATAAGTATCGAGATATTTGGATTGGAGGTGTTGCTCTTTAATCATACAAAAACTAAATAGATTTTACCAATAACTAGGGTAGTCTATATTTTTTTCGATAACTTTAACCCAGAAAATTAAAGCAATAATAACCTTGACCAACATAAACTATTCAAGCTTCAATAGAAAATGAATAATGCATGAAACAATAAACAACAGCTGCAACTTTCTCAGTTTGA